GATTAAGTGCCTTATTAGACGAGGAACTGTGGCCCGACTAGTTACTGAGAATTTGTTCTTATGGAGCTTATTACACTGGGAACACATGTCGACCCTCGCAAAGAAGACTGTCGTAACTCAAATTTTGAGATATTTGCAATTGAAGTAGTTGAGAAATAATGGATATATCTTAATTATTTAATTATAAGTGCTAAATTTTTCGTTTTTTAACAAAGCAAAGAATTTTTAGGTGTAAATTGATGTTGCAAAGAAAACATTCTAGGATCGTGATTTTTTTGGATTTTGAATGAGTTACTAGTCTTCGTCAACAAAATTTTTATTCAAAAACAACTTATTATAATAATACAGCTTATAAAACTGAAACATTTTCTATTTTTGGATAATTAGATAAAAATCAATAATTAACATTAAAGAATAATACAAAGTTATTCTGATTCAGAGCCATCCTCGTGGTCAATAAAGCTTTCTTCTTTGTGACTATCCTTACTTGTAGGCCGAAGGGAGTTGTAAAATCCATGATACATCGCTGGTATCAAGTTGGCGCTGCACAAATCCAAAAGGCCTTTTAATTTTTTTGCATCAATAGGTAATATTTCTTGGTATAATCTTGGTAATTGATATTCTTCTTCTCGTGTGCGTATATTTCTTTTTAGATCAAGTTCTCTGTAATCATCTCCAAAATTATATGCAAAAAACACTTTTTTCTACAACTGTCAAAAAAACCTGTCATTTTCTGACGGATTTCGAAACGCGAAGTACTAGATTTTTAAACGGTTAATTAATAAGTAAGGTTGCTCTTGACAACGTGCGCGAAATCGTCAACAGTGAAAAAAAGTATTTCGCGCACGGGACAAAGTTGAACTTAAACAGCAATTTAAATTAACAATCGGTTCAGTTGTAGAAAATTGTATTGTATATAACGCTAGCGCGAAGTTATTTCGCGCATTTGACTGATATTTTAACTCGGCTTCGCCTCGTCAAAATACCTTCAGTCTCAATGCGCGAAATTGAACTTCGCGCTCTTGTTATATAAATAACTATTTTATTATACCTGAATCACAATCTCCGTTTTAAACACTCAAATGCGTGCGAAAAAAGGCCTTTAAAACACACGTGCTTTAAAGTTGCTAAGTAATTATACTTCAAGTATGATTTTTGAAATTGTCACCTGCGTGAAATAAAAAATCCTCTTAGGTCGCTTTCTGTAAATGCAGAACATTTCTTTGGCTTGTACCTATCCTTTGGTTGAAGCTTTCACAAACGCGCGTAATTTAGGGTATGCTTCCAAATCTGAAGATTTAAATACCTTTGACATTTCCTGCATTAGTGATGCCGCCGAGACGAGCACTTGCACTTGCAACGTTAAAGGCACTCCGCTTCGCGTCGAAACATTAAACTCGCTGCGCGTGCTTTAAAGACTTGGTTATACACTTGTTTCTTAATATACTATTTACTCCTCTTCGAAGGACCCTACAGAGTAAAAAAGAAAATTTTTGATAATACTTACGTACTACAAGGCATCGAAAGTGACAAAGAAAGGGCTACTTTTCATGCTTCCCATCTAAAAAATACTACCCCAGATCTGAAACATAGTTTTTTAGCTAAAGGAGCTGCAATGATTTTTTTTGTGCACTTACCTGAAAATGTAATAATTTTATGTCATTTTTCCTTTGCGTTAGATAAATAATTAGTTTATTTCCACGCTCAGATTGTAACTCACAAAATGTATTCCCGTCCAACTATCTACTTGTTATACTTATGTATTGTTTTTCCAAGAATGCCCGTTGCACGCCATTAATTTGTGCAGATTAACCTATTTTCTTTACGGTTACTCTGCAGAAATTTTTAGGGGTGGGCGAGATATAACGAAACAGTTTCCTTAAGGTGTATTTAAACTTTAAACCGCTAGATGGTTCCGCTTGTATAATTAAAATTTCGTCCTTGTCCAAATTTTTATGTGGAATTTTTCTTTGTTAAAAAACTGGCTTCTGATAACTGCGCTTGGCCTGGCTATTGCGTGGCGCGATACTTTCATTTCCGTTTTAATGTTGAGCCATCTAGCATCTAAAATTTAATAAAGTTTCTTTGTCGAAAATTAGCGTGCGGTTAACTTTATAGGTATGTAGTACATCTATTTGTGTTACAAAATGTAATTTGTTGGTCTCTTACGGTTAACTTTATAGCGGAAACGCAAGAATAAACTATCTGGGTGTGGACTTTTTTCTTTTACACCACGAACGTTACCAGGCCCACGATCGACGGAATTGGATAAGAGAGGAGTTCCACTTTAGGCCTTCGGGTTACAAAGTGTCCCCCGCCTACTAGTGGGTGATCTAATTTCGCATGTACTTAATTGAAAATGTCGCAAATAACAACAAACATCGATTTAAGTCGATATTATGATTAAATGATCAAAAAATTCGATGTCGATCACGGTATTCAAGTCTACAAATTCGATTCTAAAAATCCCGTGGCTGCGGGTGGTGCGAAAATGCTTTTTAAGTAAAGTTCCATTACAATCAATAAGCATTATTGCAAGTATCGTGATGTGTCAGCGTCTCTATCTCCGCAGTCTGCGCATTGGTCCTTCATACGTTTCCCGATCATTTGTAGATACAGAGCGTTCTCTCCGTGGCTCGTGAGAAATTGCGTGAGGTGGTATCCCACTTCTCCGTGCCTCCTGTCCACCCAGTCGGATAGGTCTGGGATGATCCTTCTAGTCCACGACCGCCTGCGCCCCCATCTATCGTGCCACTCTTGTCGCAGTCTCGAAGTGTCCCATCTGTCTGTCCTTGCCATGACCAAGAGCTGACCAGGCGGCAAGGCAGCAACCACTAAAATATCGTCCGTCTGTACGGCTCCTCCCGTGTTTGGCATTAGGTTTCTGTGTCTCGTAGCATAGAATTGCTTTTTCGCATGCTAGGCGTGCGTGCTCCGTGAAGTGCAGACACTTGTCTCCTCCTAAGATTTTGATGCTCGTCTCCGCGATTATCCTTTGGCCAAGCACATCCAATGTGACCTGGCCGATCCTCCGCTTGCCTGTCATCATAGCCACCTTCGTCTTCTCAGGCACTAGCACGGAATTGAAATGAAAAAAGTCGACAATAGTCAAAAATACAAAGGGAGGAACGATGATAGGTCTCTTCGTTTCATCCATATTACGATGCGTTGGATGGCCCACATCAGCCTTCGCCCGGTGTCGTCGACGTCTCTACCGGTCGCCACAACCGTCAGGTCGTCCGCGAAACCGAACACTTCGACCCCTTCTTCGTGATGAATTCGGAGTACGCCGTCGTACGTTATGAGCCAGAGCAGTGGCTCTAGAACGGACCCCTGCGGCACCCCCGCGCTATCTTTGAACTGCCACTTCACCCCCGACGACTTATCCACCTTCACTTGTCTGTCGGTGAGGTAACTCCTGGTCACGTTTATTAGGCCAGCTGAGACTCCGAGTTCGGCCATCGCCTCTAGGATAGAGCTCCTCCGTGCGGTGTTAAAGGCATTTTTCACGCCAAGGGATGCTACGATACACTCGCCTCGTTCTCCACGTTCCTGTGTTTGCTGTCTGTACCCTCTCGGCTATCTGGTGCACCGCCTCGGTTGTTGACGCCCCTTCCTAAATCCGTGCTGCCTGTCAGAGAGTTTCCCGTCCACCTCCGCGCTGATCCTGCTCTTTAGCACCTTTTCGGCTAATTTCCCAGCGAAATCAAGCAGGCAGATAGGCCTGTAGGAGCCCGTCGTCTTGGGGACGAGAACCAGTTTATAATGCTTCCATCCTTAAGGATATTCGTCTATAACCTAACCTGACACCTCACCATAAGCGCGTCACGAACTAATGTCTGTCATAGCTGACCCATTATCTACTATCGTACCATCGTGATTTTAAAGAAGATAAAAAATTCTGGATATTTACAATTCTATGACCAGATAACACCACTTCTTCTTGAGTGTGATATGGCGAGTTTTGGGGAAAGATCGTTTATCTCATGCCGCTTAAATTTCTCAGTGAGTAGATAAGTACCGCCCACTGTTTCAATTTCCACCTACACACTAGACTGCGAACTTTCATGCTAAGCTTAATCTTACGTTAAGGCAATACCTAACAACAGCTTGAAATCGCCGTCCAACACTCCGAAAAATTGACTCAATGCAAGCACAACAACCACGCTGGCCTTCACTTTAACAAATAATCTTGAACTTGATAACACATTTTCTTCACAACGTTAGCACGTACTCGGCCACGAACTGGGCAAGTTCAAACTCCTCTTCTAAGTAAACGGAACTCCGACCTCGAAAATTTTATACGAAAAAAAACTGCTTTGACGAACAGCAGTTGGGCCTCGGACTTAATTCAACATTTCTACTTAATAATACAATTTTTTGTTTCATGATTAAAATTGCCACGTTATCTCTAAATAATTTCCTTTATCTTTTTCAAATAAACACAACGCTCAATAAATCATATCGAAACTGTTACATTTGTATTATCACAAATAAAATTGAAGTACAAAAATTCCTTAATCTATCCATTCCAAGAAATACTCTTACCAGTTATAAAGAAAATAAGCAAATAAGACCTTGACTACACGCTCGAGTCGCAAAATTGTTGATGACATTAATTAACAATTAGGCACCCGAATGATTCCAAATATCTTAAAACCAAATACAACGTCCCACCTGACATTGTTTACAGAGCAGTATTTATATTGTTACGGAAAATAATTGAACTAGGGCTTTCAGTATTAATTCACACGCTTGTAGATGACGAATGGCTCACCTTTTGTGGCAAATGCTTGTATAATAAGCGCGTTTCGTTTTACAAAACGTATGATTTCCGATCGCTCCCGAAATTACATGATGTTAAACGAAATTCTTTAAAATTATATCCATATCTAAATAAATTCTTTCTGAAAATAAAATTATTTATCAAAGAAGCCAATTTGTTTGGAATTAGAAATCTTGGATAATTTGCAAAATGTTATCATTTTCTCTATTTTCAGGCAGTCCCGAATCCCCGCACGGTTGTAGGCTTCGCAACTCGACTACCGGAGGAGTTGAGGTGACATGTGTTGCTGGAAACGACGGTGGGCTCCCGCAAAGTTTCGTTCTTGAAGTTACGGACATCGCAATACCTGCACAACCGCCAAGTGTTACCACCTTAAGTGATCAGGGGGAACGGTCCCTACCGCTATATCGAGTATTAGGGGAACATCCGACTTTTCGGTTGCATAGCTTAAAGCCGGATAGAGAATATCAACTTTTAGTGTATGCGGTGAATGCCAAAGGTCGCAGCGCGCCTCCCGTTGTACTGTCCAAAGTTAAAGTGGAAGTCCCCGTAGATACAGTTCAAGAGAACGGTAGGTTACCCACGGGATAAGCTTAATTTAATTAAAGGAGACACTAACAATAACAGAATTCGCGCTGTGCATGTCTAGTAGCTGTTGAGTTAATTTTAGCCGAATCCCATTACTTTAAAATTGCCAATCATTATCCCTATCTGCAGCAGTAACATTGCTAACCGCTAATGAAATGATTATTCCTTGTATAGTAAATATTTAATGTGGTGTTTTAGGATCTACTGTTATACCCATAATTGCCGGAGAAGGATCGCCTCCGACATCACAAAGTTTAACTCTTATCCTATTAGTGCTCACCGCAATCGCTTCCCTTCTTATAGTGGGTATCATCTCTGTCGCCACAATTCTTGCATGCAGGAAAAGGCCGCCTGCTGTAACAGGACAAAGTACGACAAGACACAAACCACCAGACGATATGGAACTTTCCGAGGCGGGATTTAGCGAGGGTTTCCAGAGACGGAGCGCGCACTACAGAGCGAGTTTATACTTACAAGAAATTGATAGAAACTCCCGACAAGCTACGGGTAAGTAATTTTATTAAGGAACTGCATTAACGTTTAATGAAATTTTTGCTTTACTTAAAAAGTACCAATGGAATTAGTGTTAAGGTGCCTTTGTTTCGAAAGTTTTAGTAATACAAGTTAGTTCTGCTACGGGGGATTAATTTAAAATATATTAAGGTGGCACAGGGAGAGAGGGGCGGATTTGCTTTAGTATTCTACACTCGGTAAGGTTAGTCGCAACGGTAATCAGAGAACTAAATGCCACTGGTCGGATGACACACGTGTTCATAACTGCTGGCGCATCAGCAACCCTTAATGCGGAGACTCCGAGGAACTGTAGACGTTTCTTGCATATAATGCGGCCCAAGCTGAGGCTAACACCGCTCTATTAAACTATTAACGATGCTTATATAAGCATTCAAACCCTCACTACGTTATACCGTTTCACCGTATCAATTTCAATTGCCTTATTTGCATTTACAAATAGCTTTTAATAATTTGGGTTTTCCTTCTTTGTAGCGTGCTCCGATTTAAATTTTATGTAAACGTCCAATCGTTGCTATAATTAAAACGAATTGCGCGCGCGTTTATAAAATTTTATAGTATGCAGATAAAGTCCTCTTGTAACAACGACGGAATGCAACACGCGTGCTTGTTCGGTACTTACCTACATGAAAACAAAAGATTCAGCAACTTGCCTTTAAGCATATTTTCATGAATATACATTAAATTGCTGATACTTTGTCTACATGATTTATTTTAATTCCGCGGTATTCTTGTGCTCTCGTGTTGCATTCTCGATCCCGTGGTCACTTCACGTAATTACTAATGTAAATTTCTTATGAATTATGCATTGGTTTAATTAACTAATTATCGGATAGGGGGTTGAATCGAAGGCCAGTTAGTTAATCGATGGCGAGCTTTTATCCACTTGATTAGCTAGATACACTGAATTAATTTCAAATAATATTCTATCAGCTGTGCATTTCAAAGGTTCTCAAGTTTAAGCTTTGTTTCTATAGAAATCCATTGCTACGTACACGTAATTGTCATCTAAGAGTACTGGTCAGATGAGATAGTGTGTCTTTTTATTCCGTTTCCAGATGTGGTTAAGTAGAATATGTTGGGGTAGTGTCATTTTTAATACGATGATGGGGAGGAGGCAAATTTCATGAAAAATGCCCATAGAGACATACCAGAGTTTAGCTTACTACATTGTTAGGATGTATGAGGATAGTGTTAAACCAAGTTTTCAAATTGAAGACCTGTGCTAGCTGAGTGGTGGTCGAAAATCTTTTTCAATTTTTCGAAAATATCACCATTTATTGCACGAAAAGTAACGTATCATTTACGGAGAGTATAAATTTTCCTACAATTTACGACCAAAAGTAGTCTTTCAAATATTAAATATTTTTTCTAAAAATTGTCTTAAGTCCACTAATTAGAGTATCGGCTTCTATACTATTCATCGCGGGGCTATTTTTCTGAAATGTACGCAGTTTTAGAAAATGTATGTACCTTTCATTTATAAATTCATGTATAAAAAATGGGAAACTTTAGTGCCTGATGATGACCTATTTCATTGCGAACAGCAAAGAAGAAAAGGTATAAGGCATATTATACTGTTGTGTAAACTGCAGGGGTCTTGTTTATCTAGGTTTAATGCCAATAATGAGAGCGAGCCACCTTGTAGTGTAAAATTTACGTGCTATAAGCGTAATTTAGGTTTAGCATTGAAATTTTCAGGCGGAACATCCTGTACAATGTTGTAATTTATTTGTTTAGGACCTGAGGAACACTGTCAAATTGACACAGAATTTCGGGATTTTGTGTAATGGTCATTGTAACGTTTTTTTTTGTATTGTAAATTGTGAATTTGTGTATGTAATTTCAAGGTTGTAATTGTATTTAATAAGTGTATGAAATTCAAGGAACGCATAAATAATGAAACATTTAATTTAAACTCGACGTAAAGAAGAAGTCTTATCTGGACAAATATGTGTACAAGCTGTTATGAGGCAAATTATTGGCCTAGTGTCTCATCAAAACCAAAAAGTGTTATTAAAATTAAAAAATCTTATGTGCAGATCTGGATACAACAAGTTGAATAGAAATTTTCAAAAAAAAGTCACTTTATAGGAGATGTTTCCAAAAAACAAAAATATTCCTCTCAAATTCACAAAAATTATCAATTCAGTCTTTGTCTTTGTTGAACAGTGCGAGGCGAAGCCGAGCTATGGACCGCTACAAATCAGAGCGAGGCGACCGAGCATACATATGTCTAATCAAAACCAAAAAGTGTTATCAAAATTAAAAAATCTGATGTGCAAATCTGGATTCAACAAGTTGAATAGAAATGTTCTAAAAAAAGTCACTTTGTATAGACGATGTTTCAAAAAAAGAAAAATGGTCCTCACAAATTCAAAAAAATTATAAATTCAGTCTCCTCAATATTATTTTCTTACCGCTCCAAAACTGAAATTGAGAATTTTTTTTTGTTGAACGGTGAACAGTGCGAGGCGAAGCCGAGCTATGGACTGTTTGAAATCAGAGCGAGGCGAGGCGGCAACGCCGCCGGAGCCGAGCGTATATCTCATAAAAACCAAAAAGTATTATCAAAATTAAACAATCTTATGTGCAATTATGTGCAGATCTGGATTCAAGTAGTTGAATCGAAATTTTCAAAAAAAAAACTTTGTATATGTGATGTTTCCAAAAAACAAAAATATTCCTCACAAATTAAAAAAAAAAGTTAATTCAGTCTGCTCAATAGCATTTTCTTACCGCACCAAAACTGAAACTGATAAATTGTCTTTGTTCCAACCTCAAAGTACGTGTTAAAATCTGACGAAAGGAAAACATAACTTAGACTATTTCTTGCAGAAGTACGGTAAAATGAACAGTGCGCGGTGAAGCTATATGGATCGTTACCAATCTAAGCAAGGCGAGGCGGCAAACCCGCCGGAGCCGAGCGTATGTCTCCTCAAAACCAAAAAGTGTTATCAAAGTTAAAGAATCTTATGTACAATTATGGGCAGTTCTGGATTTGTTAAATAGTTGAATCGAAATTTAAAAAATAATGACTTTGCATAGGTGATGTTTCCAAAACGCAAAAACATTCTTCGCAAATTTAAAAAAATTGTCAATGGCCCCTCCAAATGTCGTATAGCGCATGCGCAATGATGTGGGGTAATTTGATCGAAATTTTTATGGTAGGTTCATCTAATTAACCTTACCTATATTCTCACAACCATTAAGCAAAAAAATTAAAAAAATAAAATAAAAAATTAAAAAAAAATTGACAAACGGTAAACCACATAAATAAAAAAATAAAAAAAAATTTAAAATTTCTTTTTAATTTATACGCGGTGAACCACATAAAACGGCGTTTGCTAATTAAACGGCGCCGATAGGTCCGTAAGGACCTCTATCACTAGTTTCTATATTGTAATAGTATCCAAATTATTACCCTTATTTTAGCTTTTATGTCGACTTTTATCTTTCTTCGGATATTTGTCTTAACGTCGAGAGCGAGTAAACCCTGTTCTTGTGGTGGCTAATTTTTTTTTATTTTATTGAACTATATAGATTTTGTTTTAATTATTGGCTATCATTATTCTTTATTTTTACTTTCCCTTGAGCGGCCTAAAATTAGACAAATTACCAGCGACTGATTACTCTAAATATCTTTACTTCCCTCCTAGTATTTGACCAAATAGAGAGGGTGTGAATAGGTCTCGGACGATGCGGGGTGAGGAAAAGGGTAGAGGTGCAAAAGTGCCCAAAATGCTAGGACACGCATGGCAGAGAAACGCAGAGCAGCAAGCCGTCCAAAAAACTTGCCAGTCTATTCCCACCTTAAAACACAAATACTATTAACAAACAAGATACAGCGTTGTACGTATAGTTTATGACACGACGGCCTATGATCTCAATCAACTGGCATGCTTCAACTGAACGCACTGAACTTTATTGACGATTTGTTTTACTTTATAGTGTGGAAATCGGCAGATTATATTTCTCCTGTTATTCTTGAATAATAAAAAAAATTCCAACACGCTCGAGAATGTCAAGGTAACGTGTCCACTCCCTTACATCATTGAAATGTACACTTTTCAACACCTAGTCAACCCACCTTACTTTAATCTGACGCGCACGAGTATTTCTAACGATTGATTTTTTTTACTATTCCGATCACCTGCCCTAGATCCACGATCCTATATTAAGGGTTATATGTGGTGGAGGTACTCGGCAGGGTGCAAGGTAAGTACATCCCAAAATCCCCTATTGGGCTCCACTACTACAATTCATTTGCGTGGTTTTATGAAGTCTTAATAACACTAAAGCTATTATGAAAGCAAGTGGCCATCTGTCATAAATGACACGGTCTTAGATTAAAATACAAATCAGTACCTAACGTCCTTGAAATTCGCTGAATCTCTCGCGTATTCTGTATGCGGGTACTGCTATCGATGCCTTGCATACGGGTTTGCCGTACAATTTCACTGTGGTTTTGCATATACAACGCAAATTAGAATTATTTTCCACGTACTGTTACTACCACTTTAATTACGTTGTAAGTCACCATTACGGTTAAAGTGGTACTTTATTAGCGGTAAGCACATTCGGGTTGTTCAGAAATCTTTCCGTTATAAACTTGGTCCTCAAAAAAATTCGTCCGCTTCTTGACAATTATCATAATTATGGTGCATAATTTAATTATGCACCGCTACCATTAACATGTAATTTCAGTGCTGCGAGCGCTCAAAGCGACTTAACTCACTTTCCTCCCGCAATTTAATTCCACTTGTGCGCCTTTTAACTTGAATATAATCTCATGATAAAAATACATGTGGTCTTTCATATGTACAAATTTCCTTTAATCACAATGTGCTCCACAAAAAATGTATTCTTGCTCACTTCGCTTTAACTTGACAAGGATTTCTATTTTTGATTTTCTAATTTCTAACTATATTAGTACTGAAATTAATATACAGGTTGGTGCATCTTAAACAACCTTAATAACTGAAGAATCACATTAGCTTCCGTTTACCAGTGGATTCGTTTAAGATGCGGCACCATGTATATTAGTAAGATTATAGATACAGCTCATGGAAGCTATGGGCAATTATTTATGTCAACGGCCTGTAGGTTCAATCTAAAAACTTCCATAAATATGAAGAGCAACAAGAATAAATTAAATAAATTCTCAACCATTTTTTTTCATACTACATTTCGCTACTGATCCACTGTTGTCTAAAATATTATATTATTTCTGTTTTAAATCAACATTAAAGCATTTAATAAAACTCGTGTAGCTATGTTTTTTTTATTTAGTCAAATTATTGGATGGGATATTGCACAAAATCGCCGCTGGAATTTAATTTAATCTATGTTTGTCGAAAAAATTGTAACAATATGCAGTATGGCAAACAGCAAATAACAGGCCAATTGGAGATCGATATTTATTGTTATACGCGCACGTGTGTAATCCACAAATAAAGAATAGAAGCTCACACAAAGCTGTATTATTAATTTATTATCACTGCAGTTTTTCTACAACGTATTGATTTAATTAGTCAACCCGCTGTTTACTTCGTTTCTAAAATATTGTATGTGAAATGGAATCAAGGGGTGCACAATACACGGATTTTCGTAAAAATACTTATTATAAGCATAGGCATAGGAAATTTCTATAATCAAATAGGATATAACCGCAAAGTGAAAATACGACAATTAGTGTAGGTAACCATTCGAATTTTCCTTACTTTAATTACAAGCGAAATTAATTAAACGAGTACATTATGTTCACTTTGTATCTATACCTGTTATTGGAATATTTTATCAGAACCGACGATCTCTTATTTGGTACAATTTTAGCAAACCCACACAAGCCAACTTGCGGCAGTGAAAATGAAACCGCAGTACAGTGTCATTTTCAAAGCAAACAGACACGTATAGATACATCACTATTATGTTACTTTTTAATTAAATATAGAGGTACCTAACTTTGTATTGTACAGTAAAACCGGAAGTAAAATATACCATATCTAGGTGTAGATTTATGCGTGTTAAATATTTTTTTCGTCGAAGTGTACGCGTATGAGCTGGAATGCACTGCATAGTGGAATTATAACGAAGTGTTCTTCCAATCATGTATCTACAATTAAAACTAAATTGTCTATTTTATTTTAAGGACTCCCATTTCGTTTTCATCAAATTCCTCGAGCTGGTTCGATTAAATATCAAGTGAGTTGAAATGCTGCGGAGTGTATCTGCCCAGATTAGATAGCTATTATTTGCTCCATTACTAACACGTTTTTTTCGGCACTAATTCCCAGTTTGAAGTGTGATTAGAGGTTCAAAGTTAACTGCTTCAGTGAAAGTGGCTTGCTGCTGTATTTCGAGCTGCTGGTGCACTTGCATAAGTACGTCGTGATTGAATAAGGTTTTATGCTATAAAAACACAATTGCTCTCTTTACCTGGAGATATTCATCTCTGAAGATGCAAGGTAGGATATGTTCCGAAATAGAGAGATTAGTTTCTCATACAGCAGTCCGAACATCGAATTGAGAAAAGAAACATTATGCGAATGAACTCAAATAAATCAAATGAACCTGTGGAAGGTTACATAATTGGTTTTATTTGTTTGTGTATTTAAGACGTAGAAGTTAAGAAACGTGGGTAAAGGAATTATTGCGTATTTGAGAATTATTTAGCAGATGTTTGATAAGGGGTCTTTATCAAAGTAAAATTTAATTGATTTAGATAAACGATGGTACATGTGCAAAGTTGTAGATAAGGAAGTGTGATGTAAATAAGAGCTCGCATTTCGTTACCAAATATGAAAATTGTAATGGAAATGGTCATTACTTAAAAAGGATGGCACGCCGATCTAACGAGGCGGTCTCGGTTCATTTGACTCGGCGTACGTAACAGTCCGTTGCGTGTAAATTCAAATACTCATTTTTCCGGTAGTCAGCCGGTGTTTCGAAAACGATTGTCAGTTAAATTAGAAAGAAATGATACAGGAATAGTTTCCGATTGCTGTCCAAAATTAGTGTTTACGCAATTAGTTTCAAGTTATAGAAGAGGAGGTGATTTTTCAATTTGAAAGTTGTGTCTTCGTTAAAATTAAAGTTTGTATCCGAGCGGCCAATTCAACAATGTCAATCGTCATGGAACCACTGTTGGTGATTCACTACCTCCCCTTATTTGTTTGTTTGTGTTGTTATCTGTTACAGAAAAGGCCGAAAGCGCCTTTCTGAATTCAGACGGCCGTTACGAGTTCAAAGTTTTTTTTTTGATTTTTGACGACTCCTTGATTACATGTAATTATATTCCATACAATCGAATTGTAATTACTGCATTTAATTGATATCTTTAACAATTATAGCTCCGTTTTCTACGGAAGCCTGTTTTGATTTTAATCTGTATATTACAGTGTCCTATTTGTAATATTTTGGAGATCATTTATTAAATCATCCTCGATTGTGACCACAATTCTTGTTTATGTTTTATCCCTATCACGGAGTATTTCATTTCCTTAGCTTGTCAAGACCAGAACAAGGATCTCTTAGTCCGCCATGTCAAATTGTTAATGAGTGAAAACCTTTCACTAGAAAGAGAAACTACAACTTCCCCAGTACTCTCACGATTTGAAACGAGATGTCGTTAAACAAAAAAACGTCAGACGAGCCACTTTATAGCTTGACAGAAGAGTGATCTCAAATTTTAGCCTCTCAAATGGGATCACCAGGAAGTATCTCATACCCCCTAAAAGTGCCGAATTTGGGGACACACTGTACGTCTGATAGATTAATAATTTTCGTTGGCTTTTAGATTTCTGCATTTGGTACAATAAATAATAATTACGCGTTTTATCATTTAAAATGTGCATTTCACCACGCACTTACTGAACACTTACACGAGAAATTAACCATGTTAAACTTTTACAAGTACGCAATCGATCTCCGTATTAAAAATGAAAGGAGCCCCACTCGAATGAACATTTTTTGTCGTTTAATTAATTACAACAAACTTAAGGGAAAGCGAGTAGCGGTAAAAAAGCAAAGCAAACAGAACAGATCAAGTAGAAAGTAATTGGTAATCTTACAGGAAAGTATCCACCTAGTTCCAGTAGAAGTTATTTACAATATTACGAGAGGACTTGTAAAAGATAAGGGCGACGTAGCTAATTAACTTAATTCAATTTGTGAGGGACCTTTTGATTTTTTTATTTAATAATTCAGTTCGTTAAGGGAGTTTATACTTTTAAACAAGTTTAAAATTACTCGAGTTCGGTTTACTGAGAAGGGCGTGGGTGCAGTTCTATAAACTGAATTTTGGTATGCACTATTTGCAAAAGTCATGTAGATCCTACATAAATTCAACAAGTTTGTCTCGGAGAAAGAGAGAACTTATCGCATTCGCATCCGAATTATTGTCTGTGGCCCCTGCGACATTATATCTAAAGACGAATAAGTGGTGCATTGCTTATACAGGGTGTCTATTTTCGTAAACGGACAACACGCATTAAACTTCTCACACAACAATAGGGCTGACTGCTCGATTTAGTGTAATGTAGTGTACACGCTCTTCAACTGTTGCGAACACTAGTAACCGCAGCAGTCCCGTTACCTTGTTGTCTACAGTATTTAAAGAAACACCACTTCCACCACCAAATAAACTTTTAAAAATGTTCAAATAACTCGCCAAATTCCCCACCTCATCAATGTGAAACGCGCAATTCTTCGAACTCCCTGCCTCTTCGTTATCAGCGTATAAAACAGCGATAAAACACATGCGTTCATTAATTTTCACCTGCTAAAACTCCTTATCGCAACGATCGGATGAAACATTTTATAAATAACGCCAAATCAACGAGATGTGTCTTGCTTCTATCACCTTATCTAAATTAAATAAATTACAAAAGCGACAACACAGATACAAATTCAAATGAAACAAACCAGATCAACAGTTACTTAATAAGTTGAATTCCCGTCACTATTTTTAGGACATCCCAAACAATCGAGCACTAAAGAAACGCTTCTCATAAATTTTGTGTGGACTAGAAAAATCGGGTACAGAAACGTTGGGAATGATTTACCAGGTGTTCAAAGATGTCGATGTGCGTGATGTGATCACAGATCTAACCGGCTTTGACAATATGACCGTGCACACCATTATCACGGAAAATTTGGCGATGCTGATGATTTGTGGTAAACTCGTCCCGAAAGTAAGGACAGACTACCAAAAGCAGAGGCGAAGACCTTCTACAACGCATTGAAGAAGATCCCGGCTTTTTGGAAATCGTAATCACGGGTAACTAAACAATGGCTCGAAAGAGAAAATCCAGAGTGAATGCCATGCTCAACAACACAAACAAGTAAAAAGGGTAGTGAATTGCGCTGCAACTAAAATATTGCGAAATAGCAATATCTGAAAGGATCAATAATTCGAATGACTTTGACACTAACAAAAGTAAAATTTTGATCGACTTACAATTGTCTTTACAAAAGAGAAATCGGTATGAAAGCATAAGCGTGACGTTAAATACAAGAAAAATACTGTACGATACACAAGTAACTAATTGTTGATGAATTGCTCCATTTAATTAGTGTGTGGCTAATGGTAGACGAATGTATTACACTAATTTTTATTGAAAAAGTTGTTCACTATCGATTTCGGACGGCCTCGTCCATCATCAGGCGATACGTCAGGATAGTTAAACAAATCATGAGAATGTAATAAAGAATGTTGACGTTATATCTGAAGAATAATTTTGAAAATCTGTTGAATTGTGAAGGATGAAAGGCATGTATGGTGAAGTGAGGTTAACCTCTACTGAATAGCAATGCATTATAATTAACTGAAGATGTAAACAAGCTAACACGTACAAAATCTTGCGAGTAACATGAAAATTGTAGATATCCACTTCGGACAAAGCGTCGGTAACTTCAAAAAGTTCGTGTGTAAGTAGATCACAGGCAATGTTAGTAGAATTGAAGGAGCCGGTAATGTAGAAACTCATCTATAGCGTTCTTGACCTGAAAATGGCGGACCTCCCCAAATGAATCTACCTTGCGTGATATTGAAAAAATCCTAAATTCGGCGGTTTCCACAAATATCGATGTAGAAAGCACAATCCGGTAGATAATAATGAAGAGAAGAGTAAATCAGAATACGCACGGCCTAATGATGGGCGTTCAACCGAAATCGATGGCTTTAGAAAATATAAGCTTCACGTTAAATTGAATTTCTCATTTTACCTACACACCTGTAAATCGTAATTGTTTTGTTACGCACCGTAAAACGGCTTTAAAACTTGTAAAATATGTCCGCAAATACGTCAGCGAAGTGCAAAATAACAAGAGAAAAACTTCACTAAATTTATATAGAATCAATAAATATTCCAAAAAGGCTGACAAAGAAATGTCGAGTAACTAAAGGCGTGTTTATTCTAGAAGTAATGATCGAATCACGTCTTTGTATTAAGCAGTGCATGCGCCGAGACGAATTAAAGAAACCTCTGCACGGCCTCGGACGGCGAGACAAATAACTATGTGGAAAGTATCTATAACACGGGAATAAAGAACTATAGGTAACAAGAAATCTATACTAAAATAATAACAAGCCTACTACAGTTATTAACCTACATCTAGAAGTAGTGGATTACAAACGAAACACCTAGATGGCGTGAGAATATCAAGTAAAGACAAGAATACTAAATATACACTACGAGCGGAAAGAATATAAATAAAACTAGGAATCTACTAATTACTTAAGCGGAATCCAAACCGATAGGTAGCAATCTTCGAAAGTGTTTGCATTTAGATCCATCCAGAACACGGCACTTAAATACCCCATTAATAAATGGTTTGGGATCTCGATATAGGTAAAAGAAAGATAATTCATTTAAATGGCATAACCTAAAAATAAACTTGTCAACAAAGAGGAATCCTATGAAAATATCTTTACCTAAGAGGATATATATCCACTCCCCATTCGCGTAAAGGCGGCGAGATAATAATTTAAACAATTTTAACGTGATGATGACTCTGGAATTTTCCAATATATCATCTTTGGCAAAAATTAGAACGTGCCCTTTCAGTGACAAAAGCAAAAGTAATATTTTCTCAATCCCAATAGTACTAACTACTCCTAACACACTAAGAGCGCATTCAGTTAGTGACACAAACCAAGAGTACATTCAACGAAACGTTACAGGGTCTCGGGGCTCTAAATACGTTGCATTTTCTGACTGTAGACGTTGTGATTTTTTAAATCTGTATTACCGGAATCGATTCTGAATCTCAAAAGAGCCCACAACTTTCCATCCTTCTGTTGCGGTCTCGTTAAAGAATCACTGCCATCATCCCCTCTTAAAGGCCTTCCTCAGCACAAATTTGATAATAGGTTTGAGAACGACACTATTAATTTGAATTTCAGACGCACGATGGAAATTAAGCTTGCTCATAATACCTTTTTCCTCTCCAGTTACAATTTTCAAAAACGATGTGACTAATACATTCTTTATGTTAGTCCCTTTTCATTTTTGGTTTTTAAATTCTTCTCTTGCTTTCTTCCAATCGCGGAAACCTGCTGTAAAAGTTAATTACCCCAAAGACTTTCGTACCATACAAAAAACTAACGTCACTAAAATGTAAGATAATTAAATGCAGTTATGCAGTCTCCTAATTTTCAATTCAAACTAAAGACACGCACATGAGGTGAGAAATTACGCCCCCTTTTTCCTTTTAAATTAATTACCTTTGGATTTATCTGCGAAATAGTTATTGACAATCCATAACAGCTATAGGCTTTAAAGGAAGGTAAATTTGAAACCATCACTATGAATTATTTGTAAGTAGTTCGAAAGAGCCTCAGATGTAATACGTTAAGCAATGTATTACTACTAATTCAATATACGTTTTCCCATCGGCTTGTTATTGCAAAGTAAACAAAGTCTAAATAGATTTGTCAGATCCCTATACATTCCTCGATAGCGATCAGTCACTAAGTTATGTTCGCATGTTACTTTATTATTTGTCATGGCAGAAAACGTAAAATGTTTACCCACAATTAATCAAAGAATTTGAAACCGTGCCGCTAGTAATTAAGCTTCCAAATTGGGACACAGGTGAGAGTATCTAAAAATCATTTGCTAACGATGCACATCGATAAATGTCGCTTTTAATGATGTAGAAACGGCAATAATTTATTTTTACAAGAACGTACAATCTGCAAAATGTCTAATATCATTAAGTTAATTTAGATCAGATAGCTTGTATATGAGTTCGTGATCTAATTTGAAGGGAGTATGGAAACGGGTTATTTCATTATTTTTCACAGTTATATATGCGAAGTAGAGTGTTGCATGTTTCACTCGGCCTGTATTTTGAAAATAACCGACGTGTTATCATATAATCTACGGCTATTACGCAAAACGCGATACATGATAATTTTATAAACTATAATTTTTTATACAACTGAATTCAAAATTGAGACATTTCTTATAAAAGCCGTTATTAAAGCAAGATAATATAATTTCAAAGACCGATGTAATTAACACACCGAATTTCTGTATTAACACGCGATTAAAAGCGATTGTTGTTATCGTGTAAAAAAAGAGCGGCAATTATAAACATTGTCTACCTTTTGTAGCTATCGGCGTCGCTTTTTATGCTGTATCTCGTGATAATGTGACCAACAGGTAATTAATGTACGTATAGCGTGTTACTAAACAAATGACAAGTGTTAAACATGAAAATGAATATTTGAACCGGTACAATAAAAGAGACATTGTGAAATCGTTAGTGCTTTATTACATGAACCTAAATTAATTTATACTCGTGTCCAAACTGACCTTGCATACAATTTTCAATTGAATGAAAAATACAGCAAGTAACTATTAATCTTCCCAAACAAAAGCACAAAAGGGATTTTATTACTTAACCTTCTTTTAATGAAGGGATTTTATTCCGCGAGAAAGTAGCTTCGATCCGCCAGGACTAAGGCTACCTACTACACGCATTTCCCTAAGGATCTCGATGCACGTAGCCACGCCAAGAATTATGGTTTGTTTAGATGTGAGGCGAAGGTAGGTTCCGCGATTTGTGATCTCGGAGAATTTAGATCCGCAATTTTTTCGACTTTTATTAAGTGCTTCGCAGAGGGCGAGTTTTATAACTGTAATTAAACGTACTTTTTCATATTGACTGAAAAAGCCCACATGTACAAACATCGGATTTCTTGAGTAAATGACGACTAAACTGCTACGTATCCTGAATTAGCAGATACAAAGCCGCAAAAGCCAGCTGGATTCCTTCGATAAGGCTGAAAGATTTACCCTCGTTCCATTAAGGTATGAACGTGTCCTTTCATTTGAGCCAACCAGCAAATGCGTAAAGACCGTTTGATTTAGTAGCAAAATACCTAGTGAGAAAAGCTCATATAAAAGTTGCTAGTGCTAATTTTTATTTTCATTATCGTCGTTTTTTCCCGCCTTTGTTAAGTAAAGATGTCTGAAAGCAGGAGCGTTAATGGGTTCCGTGAAACTGATTTTCTAAATTGTTTTTGAACGAAAGGTATTAACGTTCCCCTTTGATAACAATTTCTCTCGAAATTATCGTTCACTAAAAAGGCGTCTGTTTGTTTAGTTAATTAACAATTTAAAAGAGCTCCGGCATTTTACTTCAAATAATCCCGTACCGCAGATTTACTAGCAGAGATTTTCAATAGGAATTCCTTCTTAAATTAATTTTGTATTACACGCCATCAAAACGGCCTTTAAATCACATACATCCTTACAATGTTTAAAACATGAATTTTGTGTTCCAGGTCCAGACCTAATCCTTACACCCACCGCTTTTTGTGTACAACAAAGTTCCGAATATTAACAGATGATTTTGCTGACGTGGAAAATAAGAAGCAAGAAAAAGTCGAAGGGATCTTCAGAAAAACTCAGCATAGGTCTCAATTCAATATTTTACTAGTCATTCCAACGCGAACCATATGGAGAACTGAGAATATTTTATGTATACGTCTTCTAAATCCTTTTTCTAATACTATCCATAGGTTGGCAAGTTATTTTTATTACCAGTTTTAGGAATCATTAATTTGTTAGGGTTTAGATTTTGTGATATCCCCAATTAATTGTGTTTTAACCTATAAGTTTGTACGTAGTTTTCTGGTTTAAGGTTTTGTAAATAATTTTAATTACTTTCGAACTTATTAGCAGATTTCCTGTAATTTTATGCAATATGTAGTACTTGTAAGCGCGTTAGGTTTTCGAAACGTAACTTCTGTAATTTTACCACATTAAGTTCCGTTTAATTGTCTGGCGCAGATGTATTGATTCTGTTTTATTCACGTGCAAATTTTAATAATACACGTGTGTTCAAAGTTGGTGTTCATATGAACCAATCTCACATCAATCAGTATTTTAATTTAAGCCGCTACCTCCTACTAAATTATTTTTTATATTTCATAAAATGATAGGCTTGCCTTATGTAAAATTTCATAGAAATAAAAGAATTTGAGTATTGTCTTAATTTATTTTATGAAAACATGCAAGCAGATATAAGAAACGTCTCCCCATAATCTAGCAAATTACGAGCACATATTAACCACTGCAGCTGTGAGTGTGTAAATTCAACATTCATTATTATTATTATTATTATGGAACTTTCTGGAATGTTTCGACCTGAACACAAACTTCCAGCGAGTAACACATTGGAAATGAGCATCTTGAAAAATTAAAACATCGGGATGGTTTTTCAGTGTTGGTGTAGGTCAGACTACTCTTCATATGGCAAAGGTTGCTTAAGGTATACCGAGGTCGTGTAATATATTAGATCCTTACGTATGAAATTATCGTTTTATATGGAAAAAGTAAAACGAAAAATTCACAGATTTCGCAATCCCTTCAACCATCGGAGACATTGGAAATGATAACCGTATAAGCCATAGGTATGTAAAACACAAATAACCTTTTTCTACAACTGCCAAAAAAAACCTGTCATTTCTGACGGATTTCGAAACGCGAAGTACTAGATTTTTAATCGGTTAATTAATAAGTAAGGTTGCTCTTGACAACGTGCGCGAAATCGTCAACAGTGAAAAAAAGTATTTCGCGCACGGGACAAAGTTGAACTTAAACAGCAATTTAATTAACAATCGGTTCAGTTGTAGAAAAAATATTGTATATAACGCTAGCGCGAAGTTATTTCGCGCATTTGACTGATATTTTAACTCGGCTTCGCCTCGTCAAAATACCTTCAGTCTCAATGCGCGAAATTGAACTTCGCGCTCTTGTTATATAAATAACTATTTTATTATACCTGAATCACAATCTCCGTTTTAAACACTCAAATGCGTGCGAAAAAGGGCCTTTAAAACACACGTGCTTTAAAGTTGCTAAGTAACGATACTTCAAGTATGACTTTTGAAACTGTCATCTGGATGAAATAAAAAATCCTCTTAGGTCGCTTTCTGTAAATGCAGAACATTTCTTTGGCTTTTGTACCTATCCTTTGGTTGAAGCTTTCACAAACGCGCGTAATTTAGGGTATGCTTCCAAATCTGTTCCACTTTTTAATCGCAGCATTGCTTTAAAGTTTTGAATGAATGCACCAAAATATAGAAGATTTAAATACCTTTGACATTTCCTTCATATATGCCAGCATTATGGATACATTTAAGACTGTATTCGTAAGTAACTTCCTATTCATCCATGGAAACAACTTTTCATATTCTTTATAATAGGCTTTACTGGAGTTTGATTTTACACCTACCAACGTTTGTTTACATTTTACAACAATCGATTTAATGGACGGTGTATTATCTTTTTCAACGGAAATCGTTTAATTCACAAAGACGATGATTTTTATAAGCAAACGTCAAGTGACATTTCCATGGCAATCGTGAAATTACGAACACCTAGCCCACTTAATTAGACATGTATTCGAGTATAACGTCAATATGACTTCATTGTATTTCCTATTTTTAAATTATACTGCAGGTATAATAAAAATACTATAAGATACACGTGTATAATTGATCTTTAAAGCACTTGCAACGTTAAAGGCACTCCGCTGCGCGTCGTGCCCTTAAACTCGTTGCGCGTGCTTTAAAGACTTGATTATACACTTGTATCTTAATATACTATTATTAACTCGGACCACTCCCAACCTAGCTCGTGTTGCAAACGTCACCTTTCAGAATAATAATCGTCGTAAGATGCTCGTAATACCTTCAGGGGAGATGTGCCAGAATTTTAGTACCGTATCTATAGTATTCGCGATTTTTCCTATAGCATACGAAGAAGTATAACGCTTATGGATTTTAGCGTATTGCTGCAATGTTGGTTACATACCGTTAATTTGTTGCATGCTGTATAGTGTATTTGTGAGAGCAAAGATCCATTCCATGACGATGACGATCACATTACAAGACCATTTTCACTTTTATCTATAATTCTATAATAGAATTTGAAGTCGGACCTTTATGATTATGTAGATTACTTCTTATGACGTTATGTGATGAAATTGTTCTAAAATACTTCTCGTCAATTTTCTTAGTGTAATTTAGTCCATGGTGCTACACACTCTGGATTTTGTTACATGGCAAATTTACCTACTCTCTGGTATTTCTAAGCAAACTGTTGACAAAAACCTCAAAATTTAATCGGCTATTTTTATGTATCTACTTGGGATATTACTGTTGAATATAAATGGTGTACTTACTTAAGGAATGTGTAATAATAGTAATAATTTTGAAAAAAGATGACCTGAAAAATCACCATTCAATATGTTAGAATTTTGATACCTATATAGTTTTCTACTAACCTTTCTAAATATTGAACATTCCTTGATTTTTGTGCATTTTTTTTTTTTTTGGTTCAACAGGGGAATTATTTTTTGGCAGCTGTACAACTTTGTTCTAACTATTAAGTCCAAAAGAAATTGTTTATGGTCTCTGCAAGTATCTGTTGTGTGTATCCACTGGTGAATCTGGGGTTTATTCAATAACTTGTGTAATATGCTCATGACGTTTGTTCAGAAAAAAAATTTCGTGTGTTTAGAGCAATATGAACGCACGACACAACATCATCTTGAGGGTGGTGTAAATAGGAATACTCATCACAGCTTTTAGAATAGTCTCGATTAAGTATTAGCAGTTGCGTCTGATCATCTAATCCAAAATGGTCTTTTATTAGCGCATCGCGACATGTATCGCACTTAAATTTATTTAAAGTTTTTGCGACACCATAATCGGCAAAATATACCACTGAACACGATTCCAAATTAAATTCAGCACCTGTATTAATTTCATCGCAAGAACTATCCTTACTGCTGCTATCTTGTTCTATTGATGAGGGGTCTTGTTGGTTTGACGTACATAGATCGTTGATGGTTGGAGTTGGATGTGTGACTGCGATGGTCTCAAAATCGCTTCTACTAAGAAACGCATCTTCATCATTTTCGCAATTCCCATGCTCGCTAGATTTCTCCAACGCCGAAACTATGATTCTTTGCAACGTTAATCTAAACTGTTGAGCAGATGGGTTCAAATCAAATCCCCTTCGCTGTCACACAGTGGAAAATAAATTTTCTATGGGATCTTGATTTAATCGATTGGTCATTAAATATGGATATGAAGCATTAGTGTCTCTCCACAATTGTAATATGCTGTTGATTGTTAATCACAGACCGTCGAAACAATACACCGGTCGGCTAACCGGTGACCATCTTTAATCGATTCAATAGCATGACTTAATTTATTAACAATAGAAGTGTGCGCAGCTACTGAACACTTGTTCTCGTTTGCATCAAACATATTTTTTGAATTTAGGTTGTGAAATAAATCGTTCATAAACAATATACGAGTAAAATGATCGGTATTTCACATTGTTGGAGACGATAGTTCCCTGGATTGTATACAAGTTATCAAAGCTGCATAATATGATTTACTAAAGACCAGCACCGCAAGCTTCACACCCATTCTTTGAAAGTTATTCGGACGAATGTGGTTTATTGATATTTTGGACAAGGCTGTTGGTTTGTTCACTTTGTTTATGTTAAAAACGCTCACAACATCGCTCCACGACACTCATTGTTAACTAAAACGTCTTGGTCTTGGTATTTCTGACGCTTTTAATCAAATGCGGCCCGTCAAACACACAAAATTTTTTTTTTTCACAATTCCAAAAAGGGGTTTTCTGGAGATACATTCAATATAGACCGGGAGGCAGCGTACATAGTAACTAAACCATAAGCGACAAAATATTCGACAATACAGGCTGAAAGTACGTTGAAAATTAATAATAAAATCACTCGTCTGCCAGTCGTAAGTGGCAGCATTAACTTGGGGCGGCGCTGAATAGGTGACTTCTTTAGGTGATCAACTAAATTACCAAACTATAAGGGTCACCGAAAAGATTTATATCAAGAACTTCCATTTTTTCCATAGTTTTCAAATATGCTATGGCAGACGATTACAAGTGCAGCGTTGATGGCGACAGACGGCCTTCAATGTAGGGAAAAACACCCTTCGCCTTATACTACATTGTCAATTGAGGTTTGTTTTTTTAAGTGTGATACTGTAATGATCTTGGCCTGCTACTATCTTGGCGGTCTAACGCCAACTTCAAGTCACACCGGAATATTTGACCATATTCTGTATGGGTTAAAGTTCAGGCACAGGCGAGAATTCACCTGATTCTGTTCTTCCACTTTGCCCTCTCATTGATAATTAAACTGAAAGACGTTGTGCAATGGAATGACAGACGAAACACAATTACGATAACGATCGAATGATGAATTGTACTGCGATGGTTCGTGGGTCAAAGATGAAATTGTGAAACTATTAAATTTTGACGGTCAAGCACCATTTTGTGGATGTATTTTTTAAATCGAGGTGGATCCAGTTTTTTGTACCAGTCCGGTAAAGTTATATAAATTAGTTATTTGATACGTAAAGGATCTCTCGAATAGAGTTGTATTATGATATGGAGGAGTAAGTAAATATTTCAATCTAGGATTAGTGCTGAACTTAATTTTATCATACAAGTATGAAGGTACTTGTGTCTCAATGACTTTATGGAATAGTAGGGCAGCATGAACGATTTTCCATATTCAACCAGAGTAATTCATTAAATTTGGGGGAGATATGTTCACATAGTAGAATTTTTGTATTTTGATTAAAAAGATGACGATTATTAAAAATTAGTTTAAGTTTCACGTATTCTTTTCTAATCATTTCAGATACTTGTTTTTTAAATCTTAAAGAGTGGTCTAGTGTTATTCCTAAATACTTCAAATGATCTTTAACTGTAAGCACCGAATCTTTTACAAGTACACGTATATTAGAACTGCGATCAACTCTGTGTTTATTCCTACCAAACAGAATTAACGATGATTTGGATGCATTGATGTTCAAACCGTGTGCCTCAGAGGTTTCAACCAAAGTCTTAATGTCTGCATTGAAATTCTGAATCGCAAGCATTGTGTCTTTTGGGTGAAAATAAAGATACCTATAGGTATAATGCTTG